TCGTATTTCAACTTCTGTGAGCAAGAGTTGGATCGGTTCACCACTTCGACGATTTGTTCAAAGGGTGCGTCATATTTGATATCTTGTATGTAAGAGCCGGGCAAATGAAATCCACGCACTTCTGTGGACTCTTCGTTGCGGTGATGGATAATGATCTGCGACTGATCTTCGGTGGGGAACAGACAAGTGGCCCAAAACGGCTCCATAGGCCCACTCCCGTCCACGTCCAGCATTACATCGGCTTTCCTCGACTTCGGATTATCTATTTTATAGGCCGAACACGACAGCGGGTGTCGGGGCACGTGACACACGCCTCCCAAATAGCCGGTAAGCGCGCAGTCACAGTAGAAGTCGATGTTATCCTGTCGGCAGACACCCCCGTGTTCGCAGGGGTTCGGGTGACACCGGTCTATCATCTGACACGCTTTGATCGTTATGTCGTTGTCCTGTATTTTGACGACCTTTTCGGGCGGCAGTGTCTCCACATTTACATACCGGCCCTCAACGTATATCCAGCGCATGCAACCAATAAAGCCGACCATTCCGTGATAGCCACCGCCGATGAGATACGTCTGTCCCGTAAACATCTCGAAGGAACGGGTGGTAATGCTGGGGATGTGATCGACGGACAGTATGATTCGGTTGGTCTGGAGCACCAGAACCACGGAATGCCATAAACCGTCGTTCAGTTTCTGGTCGAACGGTTCCAATTGGACGACCGGTGTGTTGGAGCCCTGGAATTTGATCACTATTTTGCCCTTTTCTAGGAATAGCTGCACAAAGCCGGCGCTCGAGAACTTGTGGTACAGGAGTAGGCCGTCCTCATTGAAGGTGCGAAAGTCGAAACTGGTGTTCATAAAGGGAACCATAAATCCTTCGACTTTGATGTAAGACTCGCCGGTATTGAACGTTATGGGAACCACTTGTGGAAACTGAATGCAAACAAATACCGGAAATTAGTTTTAACAGTAAATTTCGGGTCAATTAATGTCCTGAAAGGGTCGGACACTTACGAGACACGAGTACTGGATTTGTCCGAGTTTTCCATAAACGAAGTTCCGGTC